GCCCCATAGTCCTGTAGCCCTATAGCTCCGTAGCCCTATAGCCGTGTAGCCCTACAGCCCTATAGCCCTGTGGTCCTATAGCCCTAGCCCTAGAGCCCTAGCCCTCATGGCATTCATAGCCCTCGCAGACTTCATAGACCTAAGGAGCAATTGCACAGGGATATCATGCAATGTCAAAAAAGACTCTGGTTGGAGCTTTTCTCCAGTATCCTATGTTTTCGGGACAGTCGATTTTGAAATCCTCACGGAACCCTCGTTTCGTTAATGATTCCGGCATGCGCGCACGACGCACGCGCGCGTGCATTTCGTCTTGTGTTTTTGCAAAGGGTTTTTGGAAATAGATGATTCGTGATAAACGAGCGCGCGTTCGCATAGTGTTCGTTGCAGAGGATGGGGGGGGCGATGCCGGCTCGGTTGGGATGGTATGGATTCATGTTTATCTCGAGCGAGGGGGCAGAATCAAACGTAAATTGCACATCCCCGGGGCGGAGGGATAATCCCAAGGGGGGGGCAGATCCTAATCTATTGTAGGAAGGGGAATTCTCCTTGCCGAACTTGACGTTGTCAGCTCCACTGCTCGCGCAACCACCCCGCCCACCCACCCGCGACTTGGGTTTGCAAAACCCATGCAGCGGCGACTGCGATAACTGATTGGCGCTGGCAGGCGCATCGCTGCGGCTGCGCAGGCTTGCGCAGGCTCGCGCGCAATTGGCGGGCAATTTGGCGCGACCGACGCGGCCGCGGTGGCGCCGACCGCTGGGCAACCCACAGCGTGTCTCGCAGGCCGTGCTGACGCGCGGGCACTTCAGTGCGAGTCGGTGATTTGGGCGGGCGCGGTATCACGCCGACGTCGACAACGGCAGACACGATGATGATACCAGCGATGCTGGTGACGACGATGACGATGACGACGGCAAGGTCAAGGACGGCGCCGATGTTGATCACCCCGATTACGATGTCCACGGGTCGGCGAAGAAGGTTCGGAAAGAATTTCGACATGCGCGCGCGGCCAACGCGCGCGAGTGGCCCACATGAAATCATTTGAAACGGATCGTGCCCTTCATCGCGCGCGCCAAGGCGTTCGAATGACTTCGACATGCGCGCGCGGGGGGTTCCTTTGGTCGCATGTTATGCAGATTTTGAACAAACTAACGATGGCTGTTCTTACGAATTCGCAAGAGCGCGCGCGCAGACCGCTTTTGACAAAAATCTGGTTGCAAAACCTGGTGTGCTTTTACATGTGTTCGGGACTCTCGGTTTTAAAGTCCTTGCGAAATCTGCGGTTTCTGAAGGATTCCGGCATTCACGCGCGACGACGGGCGCGTGTGCAGTTTGCCCCGCTTTTCTTTTGCAGGGGGTTTGTCGAAAATGGATGATTTGTGACAAACGTGCCAAAGCGCATCGAATCATTTAACGAGGATGGTGGGGGTGGGGATGACGGGCCTGGTTGGGATGGTATGAATTCAGATTTAGAATGAACGATGGGGAAGAATCATATGTAAATTGCACATCCCCGGGGTGTATCGATAATCTTGGGGGCGGTAAATGTGCATTCCCTCTGTAGAAAGGAGAATACACGTTGTGAAATTTAGGGCGGCGACGGCGACAGCATAGCCGCCAGACCGCCACATGGGCCCAGACGATGGACGGCGACCAGGCGGTGACGGGGCGGCGACGGCGACAACGTAGCCGCCAGACCGCCACATCGGCCTCGACGACGGGCGGCGACGAGGCGGCGACGGGGCGGCGACGGCGACAACATAGCCGCCAGACCGCCACACCAACCCAATTCAGTAGAACAGACGCAAAAACCCCTAAGTGCAAGAGCTGCTTGGGGAAAGGCATATGTTTTCATTTGGTTTGGGAAATGTTGGCCTCTGGGGGCATCCTTGTGAGCTTCCGTCGCAGGTGGCATGTATTGGCTTATTTGGAGCAACTTTCTGATATACGATGCCACCTCGGAGGTTATTGATGGCGTCCTAGAGCACCAGCGCAAAGCCACGGTAGGGCCGCCAGCATTGAGTATTCTGTGCGCGGGCACCCGTAATCTCTCTCCACCACGGGTTGAAAGGGATGGTGGGATTGCGCGCAGCGGGTTGTATGATGGCACCCCCGCTGATTTTGTCAAAAACAGTGCTAGTTGATCGCGGGGAGCCCAAACATGATGCAAGTGTTGCCGCAAAGTGCGTGTTGCATCGCTTCTGGCAGGGGTTATGGGGGGTCAGCATTGCTCTTGGTCGGTCGCAAGTCGAGTGGGGGAGGGGGAATGCTGATGCAAAGGGAGCGGTGACAAGCCCTTCCCCGAAGGGGGGGGGAGAAGGGGGTTGGAAGAGTAATCGGTTTGGCCTACCTCAGCTCTAGAGGGCTTGTGGGATTTGAACACATGTTGATCGTGATGGTAGTGACGATGTTGACTGTGTTGATGATGGCTGCGATGATATGGGTCACATCCGTTCCCCATGTTATCGCATGTATGCGCGATAACATTGCAGCCGCGAGTACAAACGACAGCGAATGAGTTTGGCCTCAGGCAACGGTGTGTCTATTGTGCTAGCTTGGTGTGAGCGGGGTCGACTTTTGAACCAGGAAGAGCGGTTGTGCTAGTATATGAATGCGGCACCAGAGAGCAACGGTGTTTGTTCAATGGTTCTGGTGGTTGTACAATTACACCATGCATGGGCGACACACGATCTGGAACACTATTGTTTAGTATGAGCGGAAACCTCATACACATAGTCGTCATAGTATCGAATAGGTTTGCGGCAGAGCACCGTTGCCCCTTGCGTTTTTGGGAAAGCTGATGTGTGGCGAGGTAATTGAGCTGTGTGCTCCTCAGCTTTTGTGGGCCTCCACTGGGGGGTACTTGGGCAAAGAGAGAAAAAAAGGAGGAGGAGAAGGAGGACAAGGAGAAAGAGGAGGAGGATGAGGAGACCCCTTGGGACACTCTTGGGGCCTCTTGAGCAGTTCCTAGGGGGCCTCGAGGGGGCATCTTCCTCCAATTCCCTCCTGCATCTTCAAATCGGAAGCAACGCGACGCACCCATCCTCTTGCCTCCTCCCGTCATCCTTCTTATTCCCCTCCTGCTTCCTCCTTCCTTCCTTCTCTCCCCCACCCTCCGTCCATCTCCAAGCTCCTTCCTTCTTGCGCTGCCTCCTCCCTCCTCCCGTTCTTGCCTGCTCCGTCCTCCTTCCCCTCGCTGCTTCCTCCTGCGCTCCCTCTGCCCCGTTCTCACTCTTGCTCCCCCCCGCCTGTGAGCTACTCCTGCTGACGCTTGACGACCCCGCAGGACGAGCAGGAGCAGGAGCAGGAGGAGCGGGAGGAGCAGGAGGAGCAGGAGGAGCAGGAGGAGGAGGAGGAGCAGGAGCAGGAGGAGCAGGAGGAGGAGGAGGAGAAGGAGGGGGAGGGGGAGGACGAGGCAAGGGCCTCCAGAGGCCGAGGCCAGCGAAGAGCAGCCCCCCGCCGAGATTTTCTCGCCGCGGCGCGCGGGTTGCCTCCGGGGGGGCATGCGCCGCGGGCGCGAGCCCCCAGAGAGGTGCACGGCGTCCCTCCGCCGATGGTCCACTACTACGCGCCTGGAGCCGCCGCCCCAGCTCGGAGGAGCAGGAGGTCACGACGACGATACGGATTGGCCCAAAAGGGGGTCCAGCGACGAGGGGGTGGAGCAATAGATTTAAGTCGGGCCTGGCCCTCTACGGGAGGAATATTCGAAAATTGCCCGCCCCAAAAAATTGTTTGGGCATGATTTTTTTAAAAATTGCTTTGTCCATTTGGGGGTATCTTTGGAGTATTTTTAATTTTTCGCCGAAATTCCCCCTGTAGGGGGACACGCCCGACTTAACAATAGATTTGGTGCCATAGATTTGTGGGGCGGCAATACATGTGGGCCGTGCAGTACATGTCAGGGCGCAAACGCACTGCTCGGAGGAGCAGGAGATCAGGATGACGATGCGTGCTGCCCTCCACCCAGGGAGAATAGTCGGACGCTGATAGACATCCTACCTTGACACGTCGATTAGCGAATTGGCCGTTTTCGGTTCGCGGGAGGGCGTCGCGGCTGTCATTTTTGCGGGTCCAGGTCCGTCGGTTTCGTTTCTAGGGCGTTTTCACTAAAGGGTGGTTTACTAAAGTAAGGTTTGTCCACCGCCGAAATAGGAGGGTCCTGGAATTTGTGTCTATATTTTGTGTGTGTGCCCCTCCCCCCCTCCCCGCGGCCGCCCGCCTCCTTTTGCCTTCAGTGCACGCTGGCCACTTCGCTCTTCGGTGCCCCCGTCTAGCTCCTTCTCGCTGGTGCAGCCAACTCTGCCTCGCCGCCGACGGAAAAATGGTATGCCCCTGGGCCCCATTCGTTCTCTCATGCCGGAAGGATCAGGAGGAGGAGGTCCCTCAGATGAGGTGGGGTTTAAATGCGAGGCCCCTCCCCTCGACCTCCACCTCTCGCGTCTTCCGGACGGCAGATGCCGCGCAGCGGCGGCCGCCGTCGACGCCGCAGCGGCGGGCTCGGCGGTCGCCGAGGCCGCGCGGCTGCGGCGTTTGCTGCATTTTCTAACATCCCGCACCGGCTGCAGCAAAAGGGGAGCCGTGGAAATCCCAGAAGGCAGCCCGAGCTAATCTCACCCTAACACCATCTTCGCCCTACCAGCTGATCCTCCCAGCAGGATGACCACCTGTGGACTCGCACACAGGCTAGAGTCCTTGGTCAGTGTTTCAAGACGGGCCGAGTAGAACGATTTAATCATCGTCTTTGTGTCAGGGAAATGCCAAAAATGCCCAACGTCACCGAGACACGGTGTCCAAGATGCCAAGGACACCGCAACCAGACACGAAAGAATCACTCCACAAATGGGGTTTGCCAAGGTTGTTTGTTCACGCACCGAGAAGGTCCTGACCACTTTCCCAAATAACGAAAAACTACGTCAGGAGCTTGTGAAGGCGCGCCCCGCAGCCGTGTTCCATCCACCTCCATAAGCGGCCACCCCGCCGGCCCGCCGAGTGGGAGGGCGATGGCGACCGACCAGCTGGGCGGCGGCGCGGGTGCCCCGGGCCTCGGGGAACGTCGTCGTCGTCGTCCTCGCCCTCCTCGCCGCTGTCGCCGTCGACGTCGTCGCCGTCGTCGTCCTCATCCTCCTCCTTTGCCTTCTCCACGCCGCTGTGGCCGCCATCGGCGTCGGCGTCGTCGTCGTCATCGGCGTCGGCGTCGGCGCAGGGCGCCACGGTGGGGGACTCGGCGGCCTGCTCGGCGGCCTGCGCGTCGGCGCCGGCGACGCCGTCGGCGGCGGCGTCGGCGGCATCATGGCGTCGTGGCGTCGTCGTCGGCGTCGTTGTAGTCGCCGTCAACGTTGCCGTCGTCGTCGTCGCCTCCCCCCCCACCCCCCTCCACGGCGGTTGCAAGAGGAGCTCCTGAAGGCGCTGCGGGGGAGGTGGCCAGGCCCCCGACGGCAAGGTTTGCTCACAACCCGGGGCCCCCTGGAGACCTGCTTCTCACCCCGGCTCGCTCCCAGAGATCCGACGCTCCAAAAAATTTCGGGCGGGCGGTTTTTGGCTTTTTTCGGCCTCCGGGGGCCCTCGCCGGGCCTCGGGACAGTCAGGAAACGGTTCAGGACGAAAAACCGGCCCCAGGCAAGGTGTCCAGACCTCCGGCCGAGCATTTTCTTTGGGTGGAGGGCAAAGGGTGAAATCTGAAATGCCGTTGCGATGAATTTTCGAGGCTTAAATCTGCAAGAGGTATATCACAAGATGGATTGATTGTCGAGGTGCTAGAGCCCATATGGATTTCACCCTAGGAACATGCTCAGGTGTCCAGACCTCCCGGGCCCGCGCATCGAAAAAGTTGGAGCAGCCAGATGTCTGGGCTTGGCTCGTTGTCTGACGGCCCCGGGGCCCAGCAAGGGCACCCAGAAGCCAAGGCCAACGAAAGTGTCGTTTTCACGCCGCGGCGGGGCCTGTCCCTAGGGCTCAACGACTTGTCGCCACTTGCCTTGCAAGGACCGAGCCAGACAAATCAAGGCACATGCGGATAAGTCGAGGCAGGTCCAGGCAGATCCAGGCAGATCGTGGCAAGTCCAAGGGAACCCAGAGATCTCCGGGGAGAGCTGGAGCAGCCCATGGCCGCTCCAGCGCGAGTCGAGGGACGGCGGAAGTCGTCAAAAGCCCTCCACGAGCCATGGGTCCGGGGGTCAAAACTCGACCCCGCCCGGACCTCTCGGGGGCGGAAAAGAGGGGGGATAATGACTAGGGGGGGTGGATATCATGGCGTGGGCCATGATATTTCCCCAGATTTCATGGCGCCTCCTCTTAGTTCATTACGTCCCTGGCCCCCCCGTTGGGCCGCGCACATGCCGCCGGTCATGATTTGCACCCCCCCCTCGTGGACACCCCCCTCTTGGCCGCTCCCGGACCTCGCCCGGAGTGCGCTCTGGCCAGAACTGCGAGGGGAATCCCGCCGTGGCCCGGAGGCGCCAAAGATCGGCCCCCGCGCCCGTCGTTCTCACGGCCCTGAGATCCGACGTAGCGCGAAGAAGCTGCAGCATCGCGGCGGATCACCCCTGAGATCCTGGCGTCTCGATTTGTTCGAGTCAGGCGTTTTCGTTTTTTTCTGGCCCCAGGACCCTCACAGATCGATCCGGCTCGGAAAACGAAGCATCATCGACCT